TATGAAGAAATTAGAAAGAAATGTTATCCAAAATTTGAAATACTTTGCCCTGATTTAAAAATGTTAAACAATAAAACACAACTACAATATTTATTAGGGGGAAAAAGAGAGATTGTATCTTACTAGCAGCAAGATACAGTACAAGATACAGTACACTGATGCCGTCACAAAAATTGACCACTGCTAGGTGGTTGTCCTGCATCTTCAATAAACAAGCTACACGTAGTCCAAAATGCAGCGGCTAGAGTCCTTACCAGGTCAAGAAAATATGATCATATTACCCCAATTTTACAGTCTCTGCACTGCTACCCATTACATTCCGTATCAGTTACAAAATATTATTACTTGTCTATAAGGCCCTTAATGGGTTAGCTCCTGCATACCTAACTAGTCTTCTACCACGCTACAATCCATCACGCTCCCTAAGGTCGCAAAATTCTGGACTTTTGGTAGTACCTAGGATAGCAAAGTCCACTAAAGGAGGTAGAGCTTTTTCGCATTTGGCTCCCAAACTCTGGAATAGCCTTCCTGATAACGGAGGTGTCTTCAACTGAAAAATGAGTGTTTACTATTGTCATTTTGCATTATTGACACACTATTTTCCTAAATAATGCTGTTCAGTTGCTTTGACACAATCTGTATTGTTAAAAGTGCTATATAAATAAAGGTGACTTGACTTGACTTGACAAAAAGAGGGAGTCAACAAATCAGTGAAGCACCCCCAAACACACACAGAATTTTATATTGTTCATTGAATTCTAAAATGTTGATTTGTTCTGCTTTTTAAATGTATACACATTAATGTGTTCTTTTTCTTTAAATGTATATCTGTTCTAGATTCAGTGCAAACACTATGCTTTGGCAATACATTGTAATAATTTTCATGCCAATAAAGCACATTGAATTGATAAGAGAGAGAGAGAGAAATGTCACAGATTTTGAGCTGCAAAACTATTTCATCACTTAAGTCAGCGCTGACAAGAAGTTTCTCTACATGTGATGTTTCTGCATTTGTGTGGTTGAGAGAGTGTGAGAAAGAGCAAAAAAAAAACTCATAAAAAAAAAAAACTCATTCTGAAGAGGGAACATAAAAGGTAATTAAAGGGGTCATCGGATGCCCATTTTGGGGATATCATATTTCATCACTTAAGTCAGCGCTGACAAGAAGTTTCTCTACATGTGATGTTTCTGCATTTGTGTGGTTGAGAGAGTGTGAGAAAGAGCAAAAAAAAAACTCATTAAAAAAAAAACTAATTCTGAAGAGGGAACATAAAAGGTAATTAAAGGGGTCATCGGATGCCCATTTTGGGGATATCGATATGATTCTTTAGGGTCTTAATGAAAAGTCTGTAACATAGTTCGGTTAAAATTTCTCAATGGTAGTGTAAAAAACACCTTTTCTACCCTGTCAAAAACAGCATGCAGATTTGTAGCATTTTCCTTTAAATGTTAATGAGCTCTGCTGACCCCGCCCCTCTCTTCCGAGCCGCTCTCAGAGAGACTGTTTACTCTAGCCGCATTCATCGTGAAACTTGCTAATTAGCGCATTATTAGGAAAGGCGATTTGCAAAGATTCATTAAAAAAACGTATACTTGCTTCTTCTGTAGATGAAGCTGGATCATGAATGATTCGCGCGAACATAGACACATTTACGCAGATCGGGGGAGCATTAACTTCAAAAACAAACGTAATCCACTGCATTTTGTCGGGAGGACATAAAGGAGGACTGCTATGTTCATTATTACATCCAACAACAGAACACCTCAATCGCTTAGGAGTCATTCTTGTCTACATCTGCTCCGGCGGTGAAACAATGACGGACTAATGACAGCTCACTCAGGGCGGAGCTAAGGTAAGACGCTAGTCCACTGTCAATCTAGTCTCAGCCTCAGACGTCACTCCCACGGACCGCTGGCTAAACGTCTGATGCATATGGAACACAAAAGTGGTAACACTTCAGGAGTTTCGAAGTCGTCATCGGATTGGTTGAATTATACAGGATTTCCGGGAGACGTGTGTGTCGCGTTCTTTAACGTTCCGCCTGGAAACAAAGATGCCGTGACGCCAAACCCCCTCACGAAAGAAGAACGCCGTCGTGTTTACAACTGTGATGACGAGCGCTTATCAGGATCAACTAAATGCTGCATTGTAAGTATGTGAAATATTTAAAGTTCATACATACAACATAGAATCTCTAAAATACCTCAGAGAGTTTTACACACTGGTCTGTTATTGTGGCGACATTTCCTCTCCCCGAAACGTGACGCTGAACGAAACTTGTGTACACACACTGCCAACACACATTTCAGTTCAAACTACTTGTAGCATCCGGTGACCCATTTAAGTCTTACAATTGCTTTATGTGACTCAATGTACGGTATTATTAGCTAAAAACCTCTTTGGCACAAGAATGACATGAGGGTGAGGAAATGATGTCGCAACTTTCATTTTGGGGTAAAATTAACTTTTTAAAGCAGTCATAAGATTGAGTTCAGTTTTAAACCTCTCATTCACGGTCATTGTTTCATTTGTAAACTATTCAGTGTTTTTAATGAAAACTCGCTTAAATTACTCACTAATAACAGCGAAAGAGACACTCATTTTTCGACTGGCATTTACATACAAAAATAAATCTTGTTAAGGTTCGTTCAGAAACTCCAAAATGAAATTCCAGGACTTTCAAGGACTTTTCAAGCACTACTTTTTTGGTTTTCAAGGACTAAAATCAGAGATCTCACTTATCAAACAATATCATAATTATCTTTAAAATTCTAATAAAATTTTAATAAAACAAATAAAACAAAACGGTACAAATAAAGTGCAGCACAAAAGCATGCAATGACTGTGGCAACTTTAACATTCGAAAGGATATTATGGCAAAGTTATTGCTTTCCTTATTCAAACAGATTTTATTTTTCATGAATATATGATTGACCTGAAGAATAAAAGCTGTATCATACACTTAGGAAATTATAAGCTTTATCACCGCTTATCAACACTAGGGTGTGTGACAATACACTTAGCTCACGAGATATATGGACACTTGGTTAACTAGAATGAGACAATATTTTAATACTATTTTTAAGATTTTTTTTTTCATCCTTCGGATGAGACATTAAACCGAGGTCCCGACACTCTGTGGTCATTAAAAACCCCAGGATGTCTTTCGAAAAGAGTAGAGGTGTGACCTCGGCATCCTGGTCAAATTTGCCCATTGGCCTCTGATCATCATGGCCTCCTAACAATCCCCATATCTACTGATTGGCTTCATCACTCTGTCTCCTCTCCACCAATAAGATGGTGTGTGGTTCTTTCTGGCGCACTATGGCTGCCGTCGCATCCTCCAGGTGGATGCTGCACACTGGTGGTGGATGAGGAGATACCCCTGGCAATGTAAAGCGCTTTGAGGGCCTAGAAAAGCGCTGTATAAATGTAACGAATTATTATTATTATTATTATTAAATTACAATATATTTTTCTTTTAATTACACAAATCAAAACAATGCAGTTGTATTTTGAAATATTTTAAATAATCTAGGGCTGTAACTAATGATTATGTTGGTAATCAAGTAATCTACTGATTATTTTGACAATTGAGTAATCTGGTATTTTTAGTAATACAAATAGACCTAAGTGAAAAACAGGCTTTAGTATGACTATTTATATATAAACTAATAATTTATATAATAATTTAGGCAATAATAATTGGTTCAAATAAAGTATCAAAACCAAGTAATTACATGGTTTTATTGAACAACACTGATAAAATAGGGCTACATAATGTAATATGCATACACAAAATATGAACATAACCAACTTAAAGGGTTAGTTCACCCAAAAATGAAAATTAGCCCATAAATTACTCAAGTCATCCTAGGTGTATATGACTTTCTTCTTTCAGACGAATCCAGTCGGAGTTATATAAAAAACGGTCTTTGATCTTTCAAGCCATTTAATGCCACTCAGCGGGTGTTGCATGCATCAGTCCAAAAGCAGTTAAATAAAAAGCGACCATCCTTAATAAAAAGTGTCTCACACGGCTCCGAGGGGTGAACTGTAGCGCCTCCTGTAGCGAATCGATGCGTTTTTGTAAGAAAAATAACCATATTTAAAACGTAATAATCAATTTAATCTAGCTTGTGCTCACTGTTGTACACGAAAGCAGCTCCATGCGGATGATGTATGGCGGTCGGCTTTGCATGCGCCGCTCAGAAGTGATGAACGCGGAAGCGCAGCGGAGAGATCAAAACAAAACAACGGTCACAAACTAGAAGTACAAATCAGGATTTGTAAAGAAGAATGTCGGAGGATTTCGAGATAAGCCGAGAGGAGACTGGTTTTCCTTTGCTAAAGTAAGGAAACTTTGCTTCCTTTGCTCCTGTAAACAAACGTTGGTTTTCACGAGACTCACCGGCGCATGCGCAACACTGACCTCATACGTCATCCTCCCGGAGCTGCTTCCGTGTACAACTGCTGGCGCAAGCTACATTAAAGTGATTATTACATTTGTAACATTGTTAATTTTGCGTAAAAAGAATATTTTATCAAGGAACCCCCCCCCTCACACAAATTTCATACATACTGCCCTTTAAAAATTAAAGTACTTTTCAAGTACCATCTCAAAAATATGGCTGTTTTCAAGGGTTTTCCAGGACTTAAATTTCAAAAAGTCAAATTCAAGTACTTCAAGCACTTTAAGCACCTTGTACGAACCCTGTATAACAATAAATTTATACAAATATAAAAAAATAATCAGTAAATGGATTTAAAAGACTAGGATTGGATGAATAAAAATGTTTTCTTGTAGGCACATTCATTTATGTTCTTATACTGTATTAGTATATTATTTTAACATATAATAATTAATAACCAAACTCCGCCCATCCATGTTTTCAATTTTTTTTTAAATGTGCCAATTTTCTGTAATAAATAAAGACTCTGAGGAATCTTATGGCAAAAATTATTTATTATTTATAATTATTAATAATTGCTAACAATGTACCAAAAGGTCAAGTCACACACCTGATCTTTTCATTGTTTTTAAACTCTTATAAAATAATCACTCACACACACACATTCAAATTCAGAATCTCTCACACACAGCAGGAAGAACATTATAATTCCTCAAAACAGCAGAAGAATAAGTACTCCATTTGAACCCTGAAAGGCTTTTTTTGCTCTTCATTTTTTCATAATAAATAATCCATGGTGATGCAAACCCAAATCCAATCTTCATGCACAAATGGGGATAAAAGTAGAGTCTGAAGCGCTTGGTCCCTGAAGTCTTTAGTTTAGTTTCTCCTCGTGTTTCACATGAATGCTGGGAATTACAGTCCCACAGCTGTCAATAGGAGCCGTTTGCTTCTCATAAAATGAACTTGGCTTTAAAATAATGAATTTTAGTGATGCTTGAGGGTTCAAACAGCTCGATACTGTAGAGAATAAACAAACTGGATTGTAGTGTGGGCCATTTCTGTGGCATTACTTTCCTGTTTTTCCACTTTCTCCTGAGACTTCGGCCATACCGGTCATAAAGGGACGACCCTAATTGGCATATAGTCACCTTTCAGCCAATGAGGTGTTAGATTAAGACACTGAGGGGTGGGAGGGGGTGTGTTTTCAGTACGTTTCTGAGTCTGAATCATTGAGTTCGTCATCGGGGATGATGAGGCCGTCCTCGCGGCACAGGCTGTTGAATTTGCAGTAGGAGACGTGCTTGGAGCGCAGCACAGGTAAAGGGTCAAAGGTCACGGTCTTGGATGGGCTGGAGTAGTGGTTGATGGTGGTTAAGGTGAGGCTGGACATGGTGCCGGTGCTGCTGGGAGAGATGGGCATCATGGAGGAGAGGATCAGAGCTAAACAGTCGGCCACGTCTTTGTTTGGGGCGCAAGCCAAAGCTGGAGTGTAACCTGGAAAACACATTTGATTAAATTCAATGTTCAGGCATGCAAAACTAAATCATGTTCATTCATGTTCTTTGTTTCATTTGTAAACCATTCAGTGTTTGTGTTGCATTTACATTTATTCATTTAGCAGACACTTTTATCCAAAGCGACTTACAAATCAGCTGAGTCACTGCTTCACTGACATGCAAATAACATTAGTAAACAAAAAACGCTTATATGTAGACTGACAAATATCTAACGAAACAGTCAAAGCTAGTCTAACATTTGGTCAAACACATTTGGTACTTTTAATAGTAAAATATACAGTAGAATGTTAAATGTGGTAAAAAGATACATGAAAATAAATATAATGTGACATCATGTGACAACACTGAAGAAATGACACTTTGCTACAATGTAAAGTAGTGAGTGTACAGCTTGTATAACAGTGTAAATTTGCTGTCGCCTCAAAATAACTCAACACACAGCCATCTGAGGTCTGAGCACTGACAGGCTGACCCCCCACCCCTTCAACCTCTGCAGCAATGCTGGCAGCACTCATACGTCTATTTCCCAAACACAACCTCTGGATATGACGCTGAGCACGTGCACTCAACTTCTTTGGTCGACCATGGCGAGGCCTGTTCTGAGTGGAACCTGTCCTGTTAAACCGCTGTATGGTCTTGGCCACCGTGTTGCAGCTCAGTATCTTCTTATAGCCTACGCCATCTTTATGTAGAGCAACAATTCTTTTTTTCAGATCCTCAGAGAGTTCTTTGCCATGAGGTGCCATGTTGAACTTCCAGTGACCAGTATGAGAAAGAGAGAGCGATAACACCAAATTTAACACACCTGCTCCCCATTCACACCTGAGACCTTGTAACACTAATGAGTCACATTACACCGGGGAGAGACAATGGCTAATTAGGCCCAATTTGGACATTTTCACTTAGGGGTGTACTCACTTTTGTGGCCAGCGGTTTAGACATTAATGGCTGTGTGTTGAGTTATTTTGAGGGGACAGCAAATTTACACTGTTATACAAGCTGTACACTCACTACTTTACATTGTAGCAAAGTGTCATTTCTTCAGTGTTGTCACATGAAAAGATATAATAAAATATTTACAAAAAAGTGAGGGGTGTACTCACTTCTGTGAGATACGGTATATTACTAAATAAAAATTAGGAACAGTACGTGCATGTATTTAACAAACCAAAGCTGGAGTGTAACCTGGAAACATTAAATTATTATAAATAAAACTATTTTACTAATTAAGTTATTAAATTAATAAATGTTTAGGCATGTGAAACGAAAATCAAGAAACATTTTTAATTGCTTTTGAAAAAAGTCTCTTCTGTTCATCAAGGCTGCATTTATTTGATCAAAAATACAGTAATAATAATAATAATAAGGTGCCTTTCAAATCACTCAAGGTCACCGTACATCATGAACAATAAATAAAACAGCAATAAATAACAATAAATAGCAATATCAATGAACCATAAAAAGAAAAGGAGCGGTTAAAGATTTGAGTGTAGACAGTAATCATGTAGGATAAGCTATTCTGAATAAGTGAGTTTTGAGTTTAGCTTTGAATTGGGATAACGAATCTAAGTTGCGGATGTTAGCTGGGAGAGAATTCCAAAGGCGAGGAGCAGCACGGCTAAAGGCTCTATAACCTATGGTGGTTAAAGGAGCCGTGGGTGTATGGAGAAGACCCAGTGAGGAAGAACGAAGGGTTCGAGAAGGGGTGTAGGGCTGAATAAGATCTGAGAGGTAAGTTGGAGCGAGGTTATGGAGAGTTTTATACGTGAGAAGAAGAATTTTCAATTCAATGCGATATTTGATGGGAAGCCAATGAAGCTGTTTAAGAGATGGGGTAATGTGATGTATAGATGGAGTCCGGGTTATAATATGAGCATGAGGACCTAGAGAGAATAGAGTTGGTGCCTACAAAGAGTACTTCAGTCTTATTGCCATTAAGTTCATCTTTCACTGCACACTTTCATTTGAAGCTCACATTAATAGTATAACCCGGTCTTGTTACTTTCATCTCCGTAATATTGCTCGCCTTCGTTCATCTCTCACCCCACACAGTACTGCCATTCTAGAAAATTGGGGGAGACCCAGGTTTTTATTTCGTGAAAACAGTTAATAAGGCAGATAGGTGGAAGAATGGAATCAGGCTTAGTAGATACATAAAGTTGTGTATCATCAGCGTAACAGTGAAATTTAATACCAAATTTAGAAAATATATTACCAAGTGGGAGAAGATAGATTAGGAACAACAGAGAACCTAGGACAGAACCTTGGGGGATGCCACAGCTAACAGAAAAGGGATGGGAATGAAAACTTTTTAATTGTACGAACTGTGTACGATTGGAAAGGTATGAAGTAAACCAGGCGAGAGGAATACCAGAGATACCAATAGCAGATAAACGGTTTAACAAAATATTGTGTGAAATGGTATCAAAAGCTCAAGTATCAAGCAAAACAAGAATAGCTAAAGACCCACCATCAGCAGCCATTAACAGATCATTTGTTACTCTCACCAAGGCGGTTTCGGTACTATGCTTGGGACGAAATCCTGACTGAAAACACTCATATAAGTTATTGTTACTAAGGTGAGCTTGGACCTGTGCTGCAACTGCTTTTTCATATTGTGAAATATTATTACAATTCAAAATAATTTTCTACAGTACTAAAATATATTTTAAAATGTATTCCTGTGATGGCAAAGCTTTACGGTCTCTTTTAATCAATTGAATGCATCCTTGCTAAGTATTTCTTTTAAAATAAATAATATTATGATTAATAATAATAATAGTGGGTGATGTTTCTTCAATATAGATTTCAATTTAAAAGCTTAATTGTTTTTTTATTTTAGTTTTGTATTTTGCTGTGTTATTTTAGTATAATAGAGATGGTTTGAATTTGGTTGTATTTTTGTTTTCCTTTTTCATTTTAAATTTACATTTTTGTCATTTTGTGTTTGTCATTTTTTATTAGTTCTTTTATTTCTGTCTTTTTTATTTTTATTTCAGTTGTTATTTTAGTAAAAAGTAAAATGAAATTGAAAAGAAAAAATCATTTTGAGAAAAAAGTTTTTTATATTTGATTTGAGTTAACATTTTTTTATTTTTTCATGGTTTTAGTTTTAGCTTTGGCTAGCTATAATATAATATTTCTGCTTTGAAGCAAAACCAGCTGTTTATGCTACAGGCTGTGATTTTAAACGCTCACCGTTCTCATCCACGGCAAGGACACTGGCTCCTTTACCCAGCAGCTCCTGTACGAGCACCGTCAGTCCGTGACGAGCAGCGACGTGCAGCGGCCTGAGACAAAGATAAAAACAGCTCTCTATAATCTATAAAACTGAGATAAAGAGGAGGGCAACAAATGAGCAAGATACTGTATACAGGACTCACGTCTGCAGCGCGGCATTTGTGCAGTTTATGAGGTTTCTGTCCATCACCTTCTCAAGAATTAACAAGGCACTGGTTTCATGTCCCTGCAACACATAAACGTTGAAAATTACTAGATTTGCATTACCTGATGGAAATACCTGTGCACACAAGACTGTAAAAGAGATACTGAGATTCATATACTATATGAATACATGCAAATAAATAAAAAATATGAAAATATTTATTTATATTTGGCTCTGAAAGCTTTGGACTACAGGTTTGTCACTGAAACTGAGGATCTTTTATCCACCGAGCAGCAGGAGGAATTGGTTTTATGCTCTTTACATGCTTGTTTCTGACTTCCTGTAGTTTGTCTGGCTGCAGGGCTGCACTGATGTACAGTAGATGTCGTGTTTGATGTAAATCAGTACGTGATTGTGTGTTTGGTACCTTACTGCAGGCCAGATGCAGGGCTGTGTTTCTGTGAGCGTCCTGTAACGTCATATCAGCTTTAGCGCCGCTCAACAGCACCTCTGACAAACACAATCAGCACCTCACATTAATATCATGATTAACATGATCACAGCAGCTTCCTGAACAACAACACATCTGCTGTAATGACACCGGCCTCTGAAGGAAACTAGCGCCACCTTGAGCCACAGCAACGCAATAACACGCCAGAAGTCTGTATTAATACCAGTGTTGATATTGTTTATTAATATGAAAACTATTAAAAATGACTGAAATTAATTAAATCATAAATATTAGATTAAAAAAAACAAACTTAAAAATTTAGAAATTTGGGATGTCGTGTTTGATGTAAATCAGTACGTGATCGTGTGTTTGGTACCTTACTGCAGGCCAGATGCAGGGCTGTGTTTCTGTGAGCGTCCTGTAACGTCATATCAGCTTTAGCGCCGCTCAACAGCACCTCTGACAAACACAATCAGCACCTCACATTAATATCATGATTAACATGATCACAGCAGCTTCCTGAACAACAACACATCTGCTGTAATGACACCGGCCTCTGAAGGAAACTAGCGCCACCTTGAGCCACAGCAACGCAATAACACGCCAGAAGTCTGTATTAATACCAGTGTTGATATTGTTTATTAATATGAAAACTATTAAAAATGACTGAAATTAATTAAATCATAAATATTAGATAAAAAAAAACAAACTTAAAAATTTAGAAATTTTGCCTTGGTCACTAACTGAAAATAAGCTGAAGTACTATACTATAACTAAAATTGACATAAAAATAAAGCTAAATAGGAATGAAAAAATAATAAAAATGACAAAAGCACATAAATTACTAAAACTAAAGCTAAACATAAATATACAAAACTAATAAAAATGACAAAATGACAAAATGAATAAAACTAAAACTGGAATAAAAATAAAGATAAATATTTAAAAAAAATCAAAACTAATAAAAATGACAAAACCACATAAATTACTAAAACTAAAGCTAAACATAAATATACAAAACAAAACTAATAAAAAAGACAAAATATAAATAAAGAATATAAATAAAGATAAATATAAAAAAAAATCTAAACTAATAAAAATGACAAAAGCACATAAATTACTAAAACTAAAGCTAAACATAAATATACAAAACAAAACTAATAAAAAAAGACAAAATGACAAAATTAATAAAACTAAAACTGGAATAAAAATAAAGATAAATATTTAAAAAAATCAAAACTAATAAAAATTACAAAAGCACATAAAATTACTAAAACTGAAATAAAAATAAAGCCAATTAAAGAAAAAAACTAATGACTGATCAATGCACATAAAATTATTAAAACTAAAACTGAAAGTAAAAAATTTAATCTAAATGGAATTGACAAAAGCATATAATTAGTCAAACTAAAACTACAACTAAAATGAAAACTGAAAATAAACCCTTAGCGTTAAAAAATACTGTTTTGCAAGGTTAAGAAACGTTATTTACAAAAGTAACATGTTATATTGCAGTTTTACTTCAAATAAAAGTAACTAATTCTGTTACATTGTAACATTTGACAGTTAGAACTTTAAATAGAACTTTATTTGTTACTTTTAAGCATTTGTTACTCGTGTTGTTCTGATCCCTGCTAGTGTTTTGTATGCGCGTGTCTCACCGACGGCGTTAGTCTGTCCGTTCTCGGCGGCCATCATGAGCGCTGTTTTTCCCAGCATGTCGATGGCGTTGACCTGAGCGTTGTGACCCAGCAGCAGCTGCAGACACTCCCCGTGATCGGTGTACGCCGCGGCGTGAAGCGGAGTCCTGCGGGACACACGAAACACATCAGCAGTGCTGCTCTGAAACATCTGATCCACGAGGAAACCCCGTTCTCACCTGGACTGAGAGTCTGTGGCATTTACAATCGCTGGACCTAAAGTCTCTATCAGCATCTCAGCCGCAGACTCATGATCATTAATACTGAAACAGAGAGACCAGAGAGATGCACTGTACGTAAATAAAGATTACTGGAGTATGTTTTACAAGTAAATACTATTTCGGTCTTTCTACTTCAAAATTTCACATTTAATTCAGTGCTTTAATACAAACATTTAATATGTAGATTAATATGCACATGATATGAGCAGGTGTTTCTTACACGGCGCAGTGCAGCGGACTGAAGGAGTTTCCCTCCGGCCTGTGAAACACATCGTACTCTAACAGCAGCTCAACACACGCGTCATGACCTGAGATGAACAGATCAACATATAAGAGAAAAATACATCACATCATGAAGGGTCTATGATAATGCTTCATTTATTACCGCCTGGCATCTAGAAAACATCTGCTAATTTGCAAAAAAGGTATACTATTCCTTAATTTGATGATGCAAAATATATCAATAAAAACAGTCACAGTTTTTTTTTACTATAGTTTTTATTAATATTTATACATTTAAATTATTTTATTTCAGTTAATGTTAATTTTCCTTCAAGTCACAATTAGTTTTTTTCTTTTTAATGGTCTTAGTTTTAGTTAACTATAATATACCTGTGTATCATTGAACTTTTTTTTTTTTTAGCTTTTTTTCTCCACAAAACCTGTCGTTTTCTGTGGCTGTTTGTATGTAGCAAAACACAGATGCAGCAGAAAACATCAGGCTCATGTTTGCATGGTCTTCTGTCACTGGCCATAATCCTGACCTTGAAATCAGGATTAGACATAAAATAATGTCTTGCATGTGAAAATAGGCTGAAAATTGGACAAATAGTGCTCAGATTCAGACAGGAATCATATGTATGTAACAGCTTTTCTGCTGATTAAGGAAGAATACAAGATTTCTTCACTGCACAAATGGTGGTCAAAAGCAAAAATGCTACAAAATGCACGTTTTGTCAGAAATTGTGACGTGCCACAGCAAAACAGCCACTATTTCACAAAATTAGCAAGACACTAGTATATCACTGAGCAAATACTGTATAATGCAGGGCGGTGTAGCTGTACATCACATTATTTTGCTCGGATGACAGTAACAGGGGTTAAAGTAAAAAAAAAGATTTTGACTGAATTTTTTCTCAGCCAAACCCCATTCCACAGCCATACCCGTCACACACCCAGTTTAAGAGCAGTTTTTTTTGTGTAATTAGGAGCCCTTGTCCTCCTTATTTAAAAAAATTTAGGAGCACCTTCTGATCAATAATAAATTCTGATCAAAAATTAGCCTTGCTAATACGAGGTGACATTTGACTCCTTAAAGTGACTTACAGGGGTATTTTCTTTTTACCTTTGTAATGGCATTTTTCTAATTTTATTAAATGTATGCAGTGTTTCCTAGAATTTTTTCCAGCTGTGGTGGCAGGACTATTTCTCATGGACCACACCCCCTGCCCACCAAAGAATCATGTGCACTCAGAATTAAATTTATTTTAACTAAAAAAAGACAAGTAAATAGTAAATAATAAGATAAGAACAAATAAATTAATGACAATCAATAGCACAAACAAAAATAATGACAAGATACAAATTAAATTAACAGTACTTTTTTACAGTAATTTTTTTCCGTTAGGTCCAACTATAATCTATTCAACTGTAAAATAACTCTGGTTAGTCTTCACTGTATAATGAAAGGCAGCAGGAGGTTTATTTAGGCTGCTGTCTCTTTAAGACCTCATGCACGGATCTAATATACTGATACACATGGCTCTATGCTTACTTTTCTTTTTAGGAGCGCTTGTCCACCTAATCCACCTTTTTTCCTAATACGAGGTGACATTTGACTCAAAGTGACTTACAGGGGTATTTTATTTTTACCTTTGTAATGGCATCAATTTCATCTGTCAAATTCAAAAATGTATGTTTATAAGCTTTTTCAAATTTATATTTAAAACAATATAATAAGAAGTAGAATAAGACAAATAAGTCACCAATCAAATGAAAGTATTAATAAAAAATTAATTTGTACTACACAGGTGGCACAGAAGAACACAAAAGTGACATTTTCAGACGTTTAATGAGGCTCAGAGGTGGCATGAGTGCAATTATATTCATACATTCATGTGGAGATTAATGTTTTTAATATACAATTTTGAATACAGTAATATTAAATTATTTAAATAACTGAAATGATACGCTAAAAATGAAACTAAATCCGTCAGCAGGTGGCGGCAAGTCACTAATTTTATCACTGAATCATTCATTCAATTGATTCGTTCGAACGGCTGATTCATTCAGGAATGAAGCATGTGACTGTCTTTATGAATGTGTAATCATGAATCACCGACTCACTAAATTCATTCAAAAACACACTTTCATTGAATGAATTAAACACCACTGTGTTTGCTTTTAGAGATGCGCAGCGGCTGAGCTGTTACTATATTTGGAACTATTTTCGTCGATGAAATAGAGCAAAATCAGGCAGTACTTGTTTATTGAACTGTTGTATTAAATCAATATCACATTTGCAAATTAAAAGTTGTCACTCTCCTTATCGCGATCTGTGGGCGCACAGAAAATGAAAGTGAGCGAGTGAGTTCTCAAGACTCAAAAGCATGTGCAAATGATTCGTTCCATCATCTGTCATCGCGTTATAATCGCGGAACCTGCGGGAATGAGTAGAATAATTATTAATAGCCACAATCCCACACCGAAATTCAAGTCCAGCTCTGTGTTCTCTGCTAATAACCCGACTGTGACTGATGCGAGCGGCATCACTATGTTGCCACTGAGAAGCTGCAGCCGTGGCAGGGATGAGTTTTGGTACAACAACAACAATGCGTTAAATGTTTCTTTTCCCCTAATTTTTTCCAATTGACGGAAATCCGTCGTAGACACGCTGCAATTAATGGAAATCCGTCGTAGCGATGGAGAACTTTAATCCCTGCAGTAAGGGTAACATCACACATGTACCGTTATAACAGGCCCAGTGCAGCGGTGTGTAACCACAGTTGTCCTTGAGGACGAGGACAGTCTTCTGGGCCTTCAGAAGGGCCCTCAGGACCCCCACATGACCGCAGGCAGCCGCCAGGTGCATAGGAGAGCGCCCCCTGCTGTCCTGAACCAACAGACTGGAGCTGTGCTGCAACAGCACCTCCACACACCCCTGGTGACCCATCACTGCCTGTCACACACACACACACACACACACACACACACACACACACACACACACACACACAGAAGAGATTAGTTTAGAATGACTCTGAACAACTTTACAGGAATGTTTCAGGTTTAGGACAAGTCTGTTGGCAGCATGTGTGGCATAAAATGGATTAACATAGAAAATAAATGCATCTTACCTCTCAGTTTTTGTTAAATAAATGAGTAAAAATAAACTAAAAATAAAACAAATAAAATAAATGAATATCAAATATAAACAAACAAACAAACAACATGCTGTAAGCAGCATTTGTGGCATAATATGGATTACCAAATAATTTCAACTCGTTTTAATATTCAGGTTTTGTTCAATCAGTCAATCAATCAATCAATAAAAATAAAATTAAAAATATAAACAAACAAAACCATATTGTTTCAAGTTCAGAACAGGTTAAACTCTCAAAAGCACATGGCCTGGTTTACTATATTTGTTAATTATTTATTTTTTATAAGGTATTGCCAATATATATATTAATATTTTACAAAAATTTTATTTAAGCTTAATATTTTCAAAGATTTATTATCATTGCATTATTGGAACTTAACTTGTATTGAAGCCATTCCTTTAAAACTAAATTACAGAAAAGTCTCATTTAGAAAAAGATAAATAGAGAGTAAAGTGAAAGTTCAGATGAACTGGCAGGTGGCTGAGTGTGAGACTGACCCCGCGGTGGAGGGCCGTCCTGCCCCATTTATCTCTG